AGAAACCTCAATATACCCTTCTTGAAAATCCCCGTGCTGTATTCTCTCGAGAAAACCTCGGCAGGTAGTTTATTCCACAATCTAATTGTACAAGGGCGTAGCGTTGTTGTTGTTATATGACACCACTTATACGTCGTCATTCTAGAGGACTAAGATATCATGCCTCTTAACCTGTAATTTTACTCCCTACATCCAAATCCCAGTTTACAAAGTAAGTGCCATATAGATGGCATTTGGTCACATTCTGTGATAAGGCAAACCAACGATTAATTTAAATTCTTTTTAAATTCTTCTGTACATTTACATTTGTATTAATATATATTTCATCTTAATGCTTCGATGAAGTCTAATAATAGTTGAGATGTAATAAAACATACTCCTTGAATCATGTAGAACCAATCTAACACCAGGCTTAGCAGTTTAGTTGGTCAACTTTTAGAATAATAACCGAAAATATTGTTTAATATAACAATGACCGTATTCTTTGTATTTTATACAATGGTATACATATAGATATAAGAGTATAAATGGGAATCGGTGGGTGTCCGATAGAATAACTGGGATCAGCGAAGCAAATCTGAAGGTCGTGCCCCAGGGAGTGTACGACTCGAGCCTTCCATCGGAAAGAGTTGTATCTAACTTGATTTGTACGAAAAGTATAGTACTGTTATTTATTGCGTAATTCTATCTTGTATTGGAAACATCCTGGATAATTGAAATTGCAATTTTATCTAGTGTAATTACAGTTACATATTTTTTATTGACAGCCACTTTTTTTGCAAGTACATATTTTTTTAACCGACTTCATAAAAGAGTAGGTTATTTATACATAAACTCCTCTTATAGTATAATAAGATCTCTCATAATAAGATTATGTATATTTATACACGTATGTATAAGTATAAATATAGGCGTCTTCCTATCGTATAGCTATTTATATAAATAAGTTTTAAACATATTCGGTCTTATTACAAAAAATCTGTTAAAACTCGGACGAAACGTGGTCTAAATGGTCGTGGTTTAAACCATTCCTAAAGTTAATACTTGGAATAAACCTAACATTATTACGAATCCAGATCTAACAGAGGACTACTTAGTACTACAGTTAAATCGTTCATTATGTATTCCATACAGAAATCAGTCACTCATGTCTGTCACCGTACAATTACGTTCCATTTTACCAGAAAACTGAAAAGATCAAAAATAATATTAGTTCAAAGAAAAATGTATAAACTGAAAATAAATTTATTTCTATTTATCTAGGTCTTCATTATAACTATTTCATTAATATATAATATTTATTAATGTACTATTAGGCTGAAAATCAGTTTTAAATTACAAGTAGGAGTCCTATACGGAGGAAAGGAACGGCGAGATATTTTTATTGGATCGTTCGAATGGTGACTATTTCAAAGTCAAATGAGTGAAAAAATAACAAATAACTTCTTTTATATATTTTTATTGTCGTAAAATTTGCTTTAAATATTTTTAGTTAATATATTTTTAATTTAGTTAAAATATTTTTCCAAAAACTACAACTTACAATAGAATTTTTAAAATGGAGTTTGTATTTTTGCATTTAGACCACTGTTAAACTAGGGGCATCGCAGGTCTAACTTTAGACCATAGACGAATCACGATTTAGAGATAAACTTCATTTTGTAATAAGGAATACATTGGTGAATGGTTTATTACTAGTGCTAAACCAGGTTTATCTTTTTGTAATAAGGCCGATTGTGTTCATAACTATTACGTCATAACGATCTGAAAAGGTTTGCGTAAAGCATTTCAAACTGGTCCCTTCGTCTAATTCAGTGTCATCTATTTAAATAAAAACCAAAAAATACCAATTGACTGTCTCCCCAAACGGGAAAGTCAGAGACAATGTCGACTATTAATATTGTGGTGAACGCAGCACTTGACATGCCTACACTTCGTTCAATACAGCGTGGCAGGTAAAATCTATATTAAAATAAAAAAAAATAAAAATTGAATATATATAAAACCAATAGGTACCATAAACCTTGCCGATAAGCAGCTCACGAAAAATCCAAATGGAGCAATGATAATTTTTCACTGCTGGAGTCTCTTCTTTAAGTATGCAAATACCGACATTCGGGTTCGAGGTAAAAGTGCGAAGTTCCTAAATGTTGATAGAAAGGATTCGTGTAAAGTTTCCGCGAGGGATTGATTAAGTCCCCAAATAATTAAATACTTGTACAAATTAACCTACACAGTCCTGACCAGAGTTGCCATTATCACAAGTTAATATATACAGCTAATGACAATAGACAGATTTATAAATAACAAAATGAATGAGAAAAGATAAAAATAATAAATATTTAAGTACCTAATTACTTTGAATATTAAAAATATGATTTAATTATGTATCTGTAATTGCATGGAACCTGTATCATACATATAAACAGAAGATTTGTATAGTAGGCGAGTAACTCTGTCTGCCCAGAAATGAATATCCGTGTCCTTGAATTGTACCGTACTATAGTTAATTTAACTGTTTTATTTGTCAAGATCACCAGTTGTGTAATAACTATATCCAACTGTGATTTACGGGATTATTCACAACTCATTGTGGCTATAATTTAGGTTAACACTCGATGTCTTAATGATATTAGTAATTATAAGCCGTTGTACCTACATAACTTTACGAGCAATACGTGTAAATAAGCAAAATATATATCTCTGTAAATATTGTTGTATCTGTGATGTTGTTAACACCTGTCATAATGTTTAGATATCGAAAATCGCATAAAATAGATAACTGTTATTGTAATATAGTGATATCGCTTCCGCTACTGCAAATTGGTATCCGTCACTTTATGATTCATCGTGTGTTTACGTGTTCTAATACTTCATTAAATCTGCGATACATATTATACTAGTACTTACCGACACGTAGTGAACTATACTGTCAATTAGCAGACAACAGCGAGCGAGTAGTTAGGTTATATGATGTCAGAAGAAAAGATACGAGAGCACGTACGTCGCGCTCGGTGGCCGGGCGCCGACTGGCTGCGTCGATCGATACGGCGCCATTGCTGCGTTGCGTTTCGTTTGCGGCAATCATACAGTTCGAATGTTTCAATTCGGTATTTATTACAATTACCAATTTATTTTTACATATCGAAGTTAATAAATATTCATAGTTAATATTTTTAAAGACGAAATTCTTCTAAATGTGATGAGTAAACTTAAAAGTTTTCAGTAATCTACCTTTTGATATTTGTCACTGAAGTTAGTCACGATAAAAGCTTCTTGAATTTATAAAAATAAAGTCTTCTTAATTTTTTAAACATTTTCAGTTCAATACCTATTTATATTTAATGTTCTAAATTATACTTTAGTATTGTAAAGTTTATTAAATAGATTAAATTTACTAAGCTGTAAAACTAACATGTTTTTAAAAACGATAGGTAGGCGGGTTTTGTTAATATCTGTATTTTATTAATTTACAAATATTTCAGTTGTTGAGAAAAATAAATTGGATTATGATGTGAACTTGAACATATTCTTGGATTATATTGAGTTCGTAGTATGTGTGTAGTTATATAGAGTTCTCTCAACGTTAAAACATATTATTTTCTATTTACCGCGACTTAACGTAGCCGTTATCGCCTGTTCCTATGGGAATTTCAGGAAATTCCTTTACTTCCACGCGAAGGACGTTATATTTGAAATGTCAAGTTTCTCAGTAGTTTTGGGTGTCAGTCAGTGTGTCAATCAAGCCAAGTCTCTTAGAGAGGTTTACTTGAATTTTATTGAAAACATATTCAACCTACTTAAGTTTATTTGTTTATGTCTTAAGTAAAATAATATTACTGTATATTGTAAATTAAAGGCTTTTTCTTTCTGTTCAATAACCATTTATATTAATAGTAAGTAGGTAGCATAGAAATATAACATAGTGAACGTATGAATTTTACAACTCTGTTGTACATAACTTTTTATTCACTTTTCTATAAGCGTGACCAGAATATACGTGGTATTGATTGATCAGGTAAAAGGTAGCAAATATGCCATTATGTGATGTTTGTAAGGGTAAATAGATTAAATTTAAATGAAGTATAATATTGAAATGATATATTAATTTGAATTATGAGTTAAAAAAATTGTTACTGAAATCCAAATAGGGTTCATTACATTTGACCTCATTTACATACGCAACAAATTAAATTACTACAGTTTAAAATACTTGGCGCAGAAATTATGATAATTTTACAATTATGATAAATATTATACATATGATTTTAACGATTTTGAAAGCCTGATAAATTAGAACGTGCCTGAATTTCTGATAATTGTGGCTTTAGAAGTATGTTGATTTAAAATCTTTACAGACAAATACAAACAGATATACATATCTGTTTTTGTCTGGGGATTTTCTTGGTATTTACCACAAATATTTAAGTATACCTACCTATCACTTATTTATTACTCATAGTATATCTTTTTTTTAATTTGAGATTAAAGGATGCTGTGTGATTTGTGCCGAATTATTTATTCGTTATATATGTATATTACATTACACACAAACAAAATCTTGACGCAACAAATTTAACTTACTCCACCACTCCACATAAAACCGGTAAAGTATAAGGCAACGGTAAACAATAGTGCATTAAATAGAAGTCGAAAATTTTAAGCAGCTAACTTCCAGTTACTGTAACGTTCGAACGAAGCTCTAGCTTTACTGCCAACATCGATCAAACTCCGGCGTAGTTATCTGTTGTACACAAGGGAATAAACGAGTTAATACCTTAGTAATACTCCTGCTACTTACTCTTACTACAATATATAAACTAGCCAGTGTTTATATTAGCTCAGTTTGAAAACGTGTACATTAGCTTATATGTGCTGCAAATCAAATAGGAAAACTGCTAATTGACTCGATTATATAAATATACTCAATACATATAAACATAAATGTAATGTTAATGTGTATAACCATTCTCACTTTATGAAATCTTATATTTACCATAATGGATCTCCAATCATTCCTAGAAGAGAAGTTCCAAAGTTGGCAGCCAACTGCTCCTACAGTATTGGACAGAACGAAATATACCGTAACTTTGTGTTGGGAGCAAGAAGAGTTCAGTTATATTAGTGATCAGTTGCTGTATAAGATTGAAATGAAAAGCAAGCTGCCGCCTTGGGTCACTGTATACAGGTAAATCGTACTAGTGAGTTTTATTGCTTAATATTATCATTATTGTTAGGTAACTTCCCACTGGAGACAAACTTAAATTCTCTTTTTTAGAATACAAATCTTAGAGCAATTCTGTATACGAAAGATTGGTCTTAGTAATGTAATCAAACATGGAAGAAACAACATCTATTAATATTTTTTCCATATTCTTTACGATTTTTTTTAACATTTTCTTTCATACAAACCTCATTGGCAATCACAATCACAACTATATAGCTGTTGCACCCTACTTGTATGCTGTATTTAGTTATAAAATTTTATAAGAATGAAGGTTTAACTTAGTCATCAATATTGGTAACGCTTGAATAGGCAATTAGACAAAAACATCACAGTGTATTTTACGTCATCCATAATGTTCCCAGAACTTACAATGATCATTAATTATTTATTATAATATAACAATTATAATTTCATAAAATTTATGAAATAACAAAATGGATATTATTACAATTACAAGTATTTCTGGTAGCTTGCCTATCATACTTTTTTAAAAGATTATATTATTTTGACACACCTATGTTTTATGAGCCTTATTTGCATTAATATGTATCTATAATTGTTCCTGGTAATTTTTTTTTATATTTGTATTTTCATCCCACTCCAGTCGTATTACGAGTGGCAATTTGAAATGGTTTCATATAAAAATAGCTAACGTAACAGTATAGGGAAACATTTGTAAATGAAAACAATACAAAATTATTATTCCCCTTCTGTTTTGCTGACACTTCCTTCTTTTCACTCGTTTGTAATAAATTAAGGAAGACATTCTCAACACGTCTCGCTGAAATTAACTCTTAAGAAACCACTGTCATGTTTATATTTAATTCAGATTATTTGTTTGTTATTATAAATCTTAACTGCAATATATTTAAATCTCAAAATAACAATGAGATTTCAATAAAATTATTATGTAAAATAAAATCAAAAAAGTCTTTTGAAATACTTTTTTGATTTTATTTTGAAGCCTTCCGGCTTCTGGACAAAAATATAGTTTAATCTCAATAACTGAAAGATTATTGAATATTTAATTTATTTTGCAGTGGTGGCAAAACAAATAGTACAATTGACAATTTACCCCCAAGACATCCACATAGATTTCGTCTCAAAGTAATATTAAAGGCTACAGGAGTATCACTACTTTCTGAAAAAGCTCTAAAATTTTATGGCGATGAAAAATCTGTTTACAATAATGTAAATCATACTGCATCAGAAGATGAAGTGGACATCAATCAAGAAATAAATGGAGAAAAAAATAGTTTTACTCAAAACCCTGACGTGAAAAAAGAAAATCAATTTGATGATGGAAATCAAATTAGAAATAATAGGTATAGTTTTGTTATCTTTTAATGTAAGGTTCAATTGACAATTTTTGGTCTTTGTGCTACCTAATAAAAGATAAAAAAGTGCCATTGGACACTTTTTGGTCTTTGTCGTAGCTATTCCTGACAAGTAAAAAGATTAAAAAAAGTAATTAATGAAATGATTCATCCATATGAGGTCTGTCTCCATTAGGAAATATTCCATCATGCCAACAATTGCTTATCTCTGCAGAAACCATATATTATTTATATTAATTCTACTGCTTTCATCCATCAAGGTGAAAGTGAAGTTTGTCACTTCTTTAAAGTAAAAAAAAATGAAAATCGATTGCATTGTGACAAGTTAACCTAAGAATTAAGATATCTGTATAATACATTCACAAAGCTCTTACATTAACTATGAGAATGTTACATTCAAATCCTAATGAAAGATTAATATTGTAAAGTAACTATGTTCCGACAACTGCACCGTTAATGAAATACAGAAAATTTGTAATTCCGTACTTTGTGTATGTAAGATAATTTGCTTATCTAAAATGCAGAAACCATATATTATTTATATTAATTCTACTGCTTTCATCCATCAAGGTGAAAGTGAAGTTTGTCACTTCTTTAAAGTAAAAAAAATATATTAAGCAGGTATTTATTGTTTTTAATTGTGTTTAATTAATTTAATAGACCTGGACTGTCTTGTGATTTATTATTATGTATATATATATATGTATAATTAATATCTAATACAGTACTAGATATGTATCTAGTACTGTATTACTATCTACCTAGATACCTGTATAATACATTCACAAAGCTCTTACATCTGTAACTATGTAGAATAGTTACATTGCAAATACATATCTAATCTAATGAAAGATTAATATTGTAAAGCAACTATGTCCCGACAACTGCACTGTTAATGAAATACAGATAATTTGTAATTCCGTACTTTGTGTATGTAAGACGTATTCTCTGAATCTTGTTAAGTAATAAAATGGATGTTAATTACTTTTAGTGAAAACGTTGTACTCAATATACGGTTTCAATATTTGGTAGGATAAAGAAAACTGTCTGGCAATTTAGGAAACTCAGTTTGAGAGAACTCTCAATAATATATATAAATTTAGCTTTATTAAAATGACGTAAGTTTATTTTGTATAGTTTAGGGGGATTTTTATATTTATTGTGCAGCATCTTAAAATCTCATACAAATTGTATTTGTTACCCAATATATCTCAAGAAAACTTGCAATCTTGAGAGAACTCTCAATAATATATATAAATTGCAGCTTGTTTTCTTTACTGCTTATTTACATGTTAGACGTAACGAAATAATGAAATTGTTACTATACGGATCAATGAGTCTTCGTGGTCTCTCTCAATAATATACATAAATTTCAGTTTTATTAAAATGACGTAAGTTTATTTATAAAATAGTATAGTTTAGTGGGGTCCGGCGGGGGGTTGGAACCACACTAAGGGTCTGGCAACGAGCAGAGCAAGTTATAATACTGTTACGAGCAATATGTGAAAAAATTGAGCATCTTAAAATAACGGATATGAAATTGTATACACCGTTGTTATATATTTCAATGAAGTCTGGTAGGATAAGGAACCAAGAAAACTATTTATTGTTTTTAATATATATAAATTTCAGTTTTATTAAAATGACGTAAGTTTATTTATAAAATAGTATAGTTTAGGGGGGTCCGGCGGGGGGTTGGAACCACACTAAGGGTCTGGCAACTGTCTTGTGATTTATTATATATATATGTTATAATAATATTATACGTATATATCAGACATAAGTATAGCTATGTTTATCAAAGGGTGAGTTTTATACAAAGTTATACTTTACTCTGCAAGCTATGTTCTAATGAAAAGACTGAGATATAATAGTAAAATTACAGGGGCAAATCACAAGTCCTTGATTCTTAGAAATAGTGGCGCATTACAGGCGCCACGAGCGTCCGACGTATTCTGTGATACTGATCATGTATATAGGCAACGGTTATATGAAAGAATGATATAACAATTTTTTTTTATTCATTATAGTTTTAAAAAGAAACATTGTATATATAGTATTGTTTGCTTGTTTGTAAGAGCTTAAGAAATAAGTTGCACAATGGCGTACTTATCCCAAATGAAGGATTTCTTCCGGTCAACCTTTGAATGACTGATAGAAATTGTGTAGTGGTGGAAATATATATACATGACAATAACAACAAAGGAAAAAAGGCAAACGCATTATATATAACTTTAATATATTATAACTAAAATATTATTGCTGTAAATGTTTGCTCATACTGAACTTTGTTATAAGAAAATGTTTATATAGGTTCAAGTAATGCTCGATGAGAGACCTGAATTGATTGGGATTATCAATGCTACTAGTGGCCTATCTCCGCTTGCAACTGCTGTCAAAAAAGGTTATACTTTTAATACACCATCATCATCATCATCATCATTACTAAATACCGTTAAACTGCTCTAGACATGCTTGTATCCTCCTAAATATAAATGGTATGTTCAAGTTATAAACAGAGCAATGTACTTTATTATAAAACATTAACGTTATACAATACATGTATCATTAATATACTTAATCGGGCTTTAACACGAATAATTTTATGGTAATTAGGATATTTGCCTCTCTCAATGTTTCTGATTGAAGTTCAGATATTTCAATGTCGGTAGACATCAATAGTTTGTTCAACTACAGTCACTACGTTGTCCAACGAAAAATCGTAACACACCATTGGGAATTATTTAGAATGGGAATTTTTTAAATTGTTATCGGAACTCATACAATTCGTGGGTAATAGCGACGATTAATAAAGATGACTTTAAGAGCACGCAACTCTATTCAGTTATTAGGTACATCCAGCATTCAGCAGACAATTGGCATTCGCAGACTTATGTGGTTGTCGTGTTTTCACAGTTGCTATTTACTCTACTATATACTGTACTCCAGTCAACATATAACCACGGTTAGTGTAACATATTCGAAACATTGAGACAGGTAAATATCTTATTTACCATAAATTATTTGTGTTAATACCCAACTAATTATATTAATAATGTACTAAACTAAAAAGTCGCAGTAATAAACCAATACTTGATATTTGTTCCTATGGTAATACGCATCTGTGCCCAATAACTGCACTGCCGTATCATCTTTTATATCAAGAAAAAAAAATATACGTACTCTGCTCAACGGCAAATACAGTACTTTTTAATAATTTTATGTATTCAGGCGATATCAACACGGTCCGGTATCTAATATCCGTCGGTGCCGAGCTAGATCAGCGTGTGGGTGCAGGCCAAACTCCATTACACATCGCAGTCCTCACTTCACAAACTCAAATAGTAGAACTTCTGCTTGAAAAAGGTGCGGATCCACAGGTGAATTTAAATTATATTTACCAGAACTTATCCACTGGTTCCAATATCATACTTCCAAGCACATACTTTAAATACACTTTACAATTCTACTGTTATAGTACTAAATTATTTATAATATTACTTCTAACCAACATCCCCCGGCAAGTCTATTTTTTTACATATATAATCAATTATAGTTACACATAAGTATCAGTCAAGACGAAGTAACAAATTAATAATCCTTGACCTGATAATTACAAATACTATATAATATAAATTACTAACCAAATAAGTATATTCGTTCTGAAGTAAAAAAGCACATTACTACATTTATTTAGATAAGTCTGGAATTTGTTTGTCATACGGTCCCACTATGTAGACAGTAAGAATTATGCACATTTCTCATATTATATATTTTGAATAATTTCTATTAATATTTAACTAATGACCAGCACATTTAAATACATATTATATATTTTGAATATAATTTCTATTAATATTTAACTCTATCTCTCTCAATATTTATTTCTGAAAACTGCATTAATATCCGTTGCGTCGTTTAAAAGCGTACAGAAGCATTAAATACATATCTTTGAAATTCTCGACTTTTGTAATATAATATGCATTTTCTTGAAGGTTTCAATATCATATCGGTTCGGAAATACCTTCCTGTTTAATAACTCTATCTCTCTCAATGATCAGGATTATTTCAGTTTCTGGCGGGTGGTACGGTGTTGAAACTCAGCATTAATATCCGTTGCGTCGTTATATAAAAATGCGTACAAAGCCAATAGGTGAGGTCACATAGACATTGATTTGATACAATGCGGTCAAATGGAATGTTTGATACAATGTAAAGATTATCTCTCATAAATTCTGCCTGACGTTATGAAACTTTGTTGATGATATTTTATAATTACAGATTAGAGATAATAACGGCATGCTCATAGAGCATTACGCTGTAGATTCAGGTAGTTTGGATATGCTGAAGTTTGTACTAGACAGAGGCGGAGATGTGAACGCTACAGACAACAATGGCTGGACACCTTTGTTTCGAGCTCGTAAGTATTTAAGTCTATAACTCATAGCCCGGTTACTCGTTATGAAACATAACATACTATAGCAGGTTTAACTATCTTGATATTTTATTTAATATTATTTTATGTTTACAAATAAAACGCCCGAACTCTAGCAAAAGTAGACTATAAAAAGTCATATCAGTAGGTATCTCAGTAAATACTATTTTAGCCGGCGAGCAGCTTGTTAAGCTATTTCTGGTATACGATGCGATTAAATTTTACGGGAATACTAGCTGTCCCGGCAAACATTGTTCTGCTATATAAATTAATAATGCTACAAAAAAATTGTGGTTGGTGATAGAAGGGTGAAAATTTAGAATCGTATGTATTTTTTAATGACACAATAAAAAAACATAAATAAAAAATATTGTCCAAAAAACAATGCTAGGGGTGTACAACCCTTATCACTTAGGGGTATCAAAAATGGATAGTAGCCGATTCTCAGACCTACTGAATATGCATATAAAATTTCATAAAAATCGGTCAAGCCGTTTCAGAGGAGTATGGTAACTAACATTGGGACACGAGAATTTTATATATAAGAGAAGCGTGATGTCTTAGTTCTTTGAAATGGCAATGCATGAGTGGATATTACCGCTTACCATTAGGTGGGCTATTAGATTCTTTCCAATCACATGATAAAAAAAACAACTTTACTACCGATAATATAAATTACATGTAAATACTACATGGTTCAGTATATATGAAAATTATAATGAATATAGCAAGTAGACATAAAAATAAATTGAGTATGAAACTGAATTTAACACTGAATATGAATATGTAGATTATTTGTTATAGATAGTATTATTTTTAGTGTGTCAAGATGCGAAAGCAGAGATAATAGAAGAGTTGGTGTCACGATCGAGCAACCTGGATATTTGTGACAATGCTGGTCTCCCAATGACGTCTGTCGCCAAGCTATTGAAAAACAGGCAGTATGTATAAATTTTCGTTTATTGATTTATACATAATTTTAAGTTATTGCTAGGTGCTGGGCTTTTTTGCCTTGTATAGTACTGAGTCTTCATACCAAAGGACATTTATTTATTAAATATCTATTCTGGTCATATATAGCAATTGTTTATGAGCCGGACATTAAGTCCGTCATGTAAATAATTCACTACCAGCCGGCAGAAAATGCCATCAGGCATTAATTCAACCGTAGCACTAAACAGAAAATATTGAGATTATTCAACTTAATCAATTAATCATTAAATTATAACTCTGTTACAGGGGTCGAAACCGAGACTCCATTCTTCATCTGGTAGACTCGCAGTATCCTCATGAGAAGGCTTTAGCCAACTTCACTCGTCTCACTAAAAAACTAAATCATGTGCATACCATTATCAAATGAGAATATTTCAGTATATCAGTAAGTAATATATAATATACATGTATCTATTACAAGAAAGAAAGACTTCGCTCTCTTTCTGTTTTTAAAAACTACTGTTTGATAATTAGTCCTTAGCATTACTACAAAAAAAAACGTAATAAAACGACCAAAATTAACATTAAAACTAATTTATTGTTTAGTAATAAAAATATTTACAAAAATCTTTACATCTAAAGGAGTATTGAATTGCATTACACGCGTAATAAAGTGGTAACAGGTGGTTGAGATATATAGACGTCTTCATTACCGATAGAACAGGAGACGAGAATCCTAGCTAGTCCCATAGCCTTTACCCCAAATACTGTTTGACACGAAATGCGATCATGGCAAGGCTTAAATAATTTAACCAATAAATAAATAAATTTCATTTACATTCAGAACATTTTTAGACATAGCATTAGTAATATCAAATGAGATGTAAATGATAATGACGTACTTGAGGACTTAATTGTTTGTTGTGATTCGAAATCCACCTGACTACCAACTACGCTGTGCCCGTTTGTGTGTATCTGTTCCTGAATCTCGCCTCTTTCAAATTGTGTAGTCTTCGTGTCTCTCTTATCTCTTACATTTGTATCCTTTTGTTCTTCCTCCTCCTCGTCCTCTTCGTACTCATCATCTGACTCATTATTTTCCTCATTATTATCCTCAATATTTTTTGATTCTGCTTCTTTTATTACGTCATAGTGTTTGCTAGCCTTTGCACTTAATATCTCTTCTAAGTCTAAGTCTTCAGAATCTTGAAAAGCATTAACTAGTTTCAAATGTGTTGTTCGAGAGTCATTATTATCTGGCAATTGGTCTTTCGTTAACTCTCCGATGGGAGGAGCTCCAGATACTAACGGTGGAAGTTCACCAATAAATGGTCCATACTGAGGAGTTTTCAATAGTAATTCAGGATTAGCGGGTAGTTTGGAAGAAAATAATTTAGTTGTAGTTTTTATTTCTGGTACAGTGGATATCGATGACTTAGTAATATTTTTTCCATCGTACGTAGTATAGTAATTCAATTGCTCGTCTTTGGTTGTCAATTTCTGAGATTGTTCTTTATTTATTTTAGGGTCAGGTGGTAAATAATACGGACTAATTCTATCTGACTCCATTACCATATCAGAAGGTACATCTCTTTCCAGATTAGTTTTACTGAATAAAGCGTTCAATTGTTCATCTGATTTAACATATACTGGATGTGGTCTATCTTCTTTTGCATGATTCTTAGGAAAAATCTCTTTTGTTCTATCATTAGTTGATAATAGATGATCTGGTGGTGATGGTATAAACATTGGTTCAAAAGATTCTGTTTGTTTCTCACTAGGATATGCATGATTTATATATTGTGGTGATTCATTGTAATCCTCTTCTACATCAGTATCCTCTCGTCTATTAGTATTATTAGTTTCATCTCCATCAGTTATTCTATCTTCAGCTGCCATTAAAGGTTCTCGAATTATTGGTTTGAATCCGCTTTCAATGACTATTGAGTCTACTTTAAACCCAGTGTTTACAGCTGGCTTTAGAGTAGATGAATTAGGAACTGACTCTCCTATGAAATCTGACGATTTTATTTCATCCTGTATATGTAATTTGGGTTTGCTCTCTTCTCTTGTACGGTGAGTGGTAGATAAAATAACTTCTGTAGGAATAGATGTAGGATGCGTTCTGATAATTTGATGTTTTGTTTGGGTCATTTGTTGATCTAATGGTTGTGGATTATCCATTGGTTTGCCTAATATAATTTGACCCGAACTTGGTTTATTAAAAAATACTTGTGGAATACTATGCTGCGCTACTGCATCATTAGTTCCTGGTAATGTGATTTGGCTTTTAACTACATGATTTACTATTATGTCTGTTTGCCCCAAATTTAACATTTGAGACTGTGTCGGCTTTGTAGGATTGTTGGAGGCTGGTTTTCCCATTATTATAGACTGTACTGTTCCTGTAGGTAATTTTGGTATTTGCTTAGGTGGGCCTTGGCTAAATCCAACTTTATCATGATGGAGTGGTGGCATGACTTTCATTGGAGGTAAAGCTGCCTGATGCGGTCTATTCATACTTGGTGGCAATCGACTATTAGGATAATGAGAATGCTTATGTGACAGTGGCTTTTTTTGCATCCCCTGAGGACCGTGTGGATTTGGCATAGATAAAGGATATCCTGCTCCATTGCCCTTTTGGAACATAGGTGGAGGCCTACGCAATTTTATTTCTGGCGGAACTGGTCGTCTATATGGTGGTCGCACATTTCCCATTGGTCTATTAGGTCCACTAGGACGCAAAACTGACTGTAGTGTTAGTGGCTTTTGATTTGGTGGTAACATGTAGTTATCAGGCAATTTGCCTGGTTCTATTATATATTCTTCACCTTCTCTAATTGGCAACTCTGGTACAAACATTTCAGGTAGTTCTTCATGCACTTGGTACTGTGATGGAGTTGAATGGGATGTGTTTTTTCTCATCTCTTCTTTCATTTGGCTCTCCAAACTTTCAACGGCTTGTATGACTTCTTTTATTTGCACCTTGGATATAGGCAATTCATACTCCTGTCCAGATGGGTATATCTGGTTCCTTACAACCTCAGTTCTGATGGTATCGCCTGAGAGACTGCTGTCACCTTTAATGCTACTGAAATCGTTATAATTTATTTTCGTATTGATTATTTTTTCTACTTTCTTGCGTTGATCTAAAAAGTTTGAGTCTGGTGGGACGCGGCTATGTACCTGAATAGATTCCTCACTCTGCAGGTCCCCCTCTGGTACTGCATATTGCTCGACTACACGGCTCTCCTCCGCTTCGGCGGCATCACATTCATCGAGGACATTTATTTTCCAACCAAGATGTCGGTGAGTGAAACACTGAAACATTGAACATTTCTTTAATATCACCACAATAAAAAATATATTTAAAGTATAACCTGTCACCGTCGCTAATATACAGTGAGAACTTATCGAGAGATGTCATGCGATACAGAGAAGACTTGGAAGGCTGAAACAGAAAACAGGAGGATATTATATACATAAAAAAAAGCAAGAACCCTGCTGTAAATATAGAAAATGAAGAGAACAATAATGTTAAACCTCCAATTGAAACTATAGTGTTATATTTATAATTAACACTAGTTTAGTCCATTAACATTTAGATATATGTAGACTTACAAATTAAATTATTGATAATTCACACACACAATAGTAAGAAGCATAAAGACAGATAAAGAAATTAATTGAAATGTTAAGCTGTTTTATGATACCATTAACTATGCTGACCTGATAGTAGACAGTGTCAGGAGTACGACGATCTGGTGTCCATGTCACAATGCCAGGGTTTCCTGGTTCACACTCCAGAGTCAAAGATCGTTGGTAAGCGCCAAAGCTCGGATATTCATCAGCTTCCGGTCCATTAATATCTGGTGTCCAATTACAAGCACGACCTACTCCTGTAGGCAAGAGCTCTCCAGTACGAGAACGACGGACGCCAGCGTAGATCTCAATACCCTGACGGTAGAAAAAGTTAACCAATATGTATATGCAAGAAGAAAACATTATTAAGCACTATCTATTACCCGCGGCTTTATCTGCTTTTTAGAGATAGAAGATAAACTATGTCCCCGTAAGCTAAATTATACAGCTTCACACACAAAATAAGATCCAATCCGCCGTTTAATCATGAAAAAGTAATATACAGAGAGACATACATATCTTTGCATTTAAAATATTATTTAGTATAATGTAGGCTCTACTAACCTCTCTTTCCTTGTCATTCTTGTGAAGATATCCCCCGACAGGGTCATTGGTGATATAGAACGGATGGTACCTGGCTGGAACTTCTGGGTTAGACCCTCCTTCTACCACAAAGGTGTATTTTTTGCCACGAACCACGTTGATCTCAGGAATCAGGAGACCGTTGATGTACCAGGATAATCCCCATCCCACATGACCTGTAATTCATTCGAATCATTAATAATTTGTTAATATTTTATACACATAAAATAGATTTATTCATTTTTACTGGATTTTATAATTGTTACTTTTAACAGTTACCAAAATAGAAAGAACGATATGAAAGAAAATGACATTATTATTAGGTATTAAAATATATACCTACCATCTATCAAAAATGTATATATTAAGGAAGGAAGAAACCGAATAGTTGGTCTTCACAAGCAATAAGCCAGCCAGCCAGCAATACATGAGATATTATGTTATAAATTATGTAGACATTTTTAACTGCAGTTATATATGTATATTATCACTTATTCAGTAAAACATTAAATATGTAATAGACTTATTTTTACAATTAAACGATTAAACCTATTCTTTCGCTTTACTATTTTTTTATTTCACAGAAAGTCATGCAACACCTATGACAGTTAAAATTAATTTGTAGGAGGATTTACCTCATATAAATAAGGACTATGATTATACAAAACTTCTATTTTTCTGACATAACGCCTTCTATATATTAATAGTACGTACCTGTTATGGCAGAATATCCTTGTTTTCCACCCGTGGGACCCATCTGCGCGTAGAACACGCCATCTGGTGGCTCGTAGCACTGTATAGCTGGGATGTCCCATGGTTGTGAGCGAGGCACAGGCTTCGGAGTTGGCACTGGATTCGGTTTAATTACTGCTCTCTGTAGAATATTGCAATATTGAATTTTGACTTATAACATTAATCAATTGTACTTACTATACAAATAAATTATGTTATCTAAGATTATTATGTTATCTAACATTATTAAAGATTTTTTTTTCAAACTGTATAAAAAATCTTTAATAATCTTAGATAACATAAGTTCGCTAAGTTATTTATTCAAATTTATTGGCTTAAATACAGTTTAAGACTCATAGAAAATAATGTAGGTATCAAATGCTTCCTATAAAGGCATAGGCTTACTCAGCAAATTGGGAGAAAAGGCAAAATGCAAGTCAGCCACGTATTGCATTAATATTCATTCTTCTTGAATACTAATAATTACATACATGATTCGTCAATACTATTTAAAACTTTATACTTACTGGTGGCTCTTCTTGCTTGCTGATTGGTTTCTGTGCCACCGGTGTTGGTCGGTCATCGTCCTCGCTTTCAGGCATGGGACAGTTCCAAATGGGAGGCCGACCAAACTCTATGAACTTGTCATCCTGTGTACAATGTACAGTGTTTATTTTTATGAATATATATATATTTTTTATTTATTTCATCCAACATTCAAGGAATATTTTTATAAGTGTCTAGTATTTTATATTTTTTTTATTTATTTATAAACTCTTTATTACACCAAACTTGTTACACAAGAAATACATTTTACATCACTTACTTACTTTTGTACATCAATAACTCTTATTGATATACAAAAGGCGATTTTATCGCAAGCGAGCAATTTCTTTCAGACAACCTTTGTGTAGAGAAAATACGACAAAAATCTGGTAGGTGGCTTCGTGAATAATATAGAAGAATATATATATATATAAGTTTATAGGTAATAATAGATGTAGAATTATATTATTTGGTTGTTTAATAAAAACTTCAATCTATTCGATCTTTATCTTTACAAATTATAAATTTTCTAAAAATAAACTAGCTAAAAACTTTTCCAAATATAAATAGAGATTTAGACATACATAATAACATTTTGAATATTGAACTGTGCAATTTTAGCATAAATGTAAATTTATTATTGAGTATATTCTGAAATAAAGTAATATGTATAGACTATATTTAAACTAACAGAAAGTTGTTCACGTATCACTTTTTAACATGTTTCCCAATATCAAACAAAATTTAAGTGCTAGGCAAAATAATATTTTTTTGCTTGACCTGTGCAATCTCTTTAAGAATGTTAACCTTACCTTATTATAGTGATGATGATAGGAAACTTCGTTGTGAGAGTTAAGAGGACCCAACGCCCAAATGACTGGCTGGCTGGCGTTGGTCAACACTGGCAGATCAAGATAATCGGCGGCACGAAGACTTCGCTGGTACGTCACTATGGAATATCCATTCACAAGGGCAGCGTTCAGTAGACGGATTGAATTCGTCGATTCCTGCATTTAAAAATATATAATGTAATCAGATGAGGTAGTTAGTGGCTTTGTCAAATTTTAGCGTCATAGTTAACGCGACTCTTGCCAGGATGCGAACTTACTAGCATCTCTAAGATTACTTTGTTTAGTGCAAATTAAAAATTTAAGTTATTCTGGTATCAGTCAGATTTTAACCCAAATCCTTTCGGTCTATTATTATTAATTACTAGCGGTCCCGGCAAACGTTGTTTTGCCTTAAAATAAAGAAAAAAATTAGTGATGGACTACCCCTAACATTTAGGGGGATGAAAAATAGATGTTGGCCGATTCTCAGACCTACTCAATACGCTCACAAAATTTCATGAGAATCGGTCAAGCCGTTTCGGAGGTGTATGGGAACGAAAACTGTGACGCGAGAATTTTATATATAAGATTTACAATCGATAATATTATAATGAGTTACTTGATTGCTATCTGATGAAAATACGCAACATTCTGTCTCTACCACTCATTCAGCTGTATCTGCCTCTCCCTTAAGGGATATTACGTGATGGATGATACATAGCATATTAGATGGCATATTTATACATAATAGCTAGTGTAATTATAATGACGACTAGTAAAAAACATCTAGACATGATTACACAAACTGGTTTCACATGAATCTTCTACTCTTATGCAGTGTTAATTGCTGTATAGTTTCTAGCGTCACGTTACAATCACTTGCACTTATTTAAACTATGTTTCCAATAAAAACGTCCATGCTCAGTGGTTTCTATATAGTAATGAAATAAAAAAATAATTAAGAACTAAAGCATATAGTGAATATTGTTGTCTATGCTGCTAATACTGCCTATGTACTAAAGAGCCTTAAAAGCTGTGTAGTCAGCCAGTATTGTTGGGGCCCATAGATTATTTAGCAAATAAGTCATGTGTTCGATTTCTCGGACTATGGACGCATTTGTATTTATGAGTATGACTCCTTATATTAATCCGGGTATTTTCTATATATACTACTAGCTACTCGCCTCGGTTTCGCCCGGGTGTATATTAAACAATAGATATAAACCTTCCTATGTATTAAAAAAATGGCTTCAAAATTCATTGCGTAGTTGTAAAGATTTAAGCCTACATAGGGACAGACAGCGAGAGCGACTTTATTTTATACTATGTAATGATGATGATGATGATATTATATGTATGTCTAAAAAATGTATTATGTATTTCTATCAGTTGTATCCGTAAAACGAGCTCTACTTAGAGAGTTATTACTATTATATTTCATTAAATATTTATACCTACTTGGATATAAAAAATATATAAACACAACTTCATTTAAGTTTCTTTATTATCATTAAAGTTATCTAAGTTATTCTTCATTACGCCAATGTTAACAGTAATTACTCTCCCCTCACTAATCACTCCTCCACCGCACTCTTGATCTCTCCATATTGTCAATGTTAAAACTTTCTAAGTCTTGTAGTTTTATGAACCAAAAGTACCCCAAAGTATTCATAATTTTAATAATATAACTTTATTAGGAAAATACAACATGGAATTGTTTATATTAAAAGTAATATTAAATGTCTCGACGAAATAACTGTAATTCGCGGTGTATTCGAAAACGAATTACGAAAATTCCCAATTGACATTTTAATTTATATTTTCGATAAGTTGAGAATTGTAGGTAGATACTACTAGAATAATTACATTATTTGTCACTCGCCTACATTTTCATCATAAAAAATAATCAGTTACTGTCCTCGTGATACAATCTAATTTTACATCAAAATAAAATTTAATTTGTTGTTGTTGTTGTCCGTTAAGTTCCATTCTTTTAGTATTACAATCGTAGTAATCATACAGACAGAGACACTGGCTTTCCCATTTGTAATATTAATATATATATTTTTTTACTAATACGTACCCCACCAAATTTCTCATCGGGACAGGCGCCATGTTGTCCTGCACATTGGCTCTTCCCTTCCAGATAATAATCTTTGGATTCTCCTTTAAATGTTGTCATGTTAATCCACGCTACTGCTACGTCACCACCAATCATCTGAGAACGTTTCGGGTTCCCAGAGATACCGAACGACATGTACTCGCCATCCTCTGCAAAAATTATAAACGATCTCTCTATCATATCAATGGTCAATAGTAAATTCTATAAGCCTATAAATATAAATAATTTTTAATTATCATCATCACAGTTACAAACTGCCTCAAAGTAATACAGCGATACTCATTTTCTTTATAAATAAAAAAATAAATTTGTATATTTAAAATCCATGCTTTCGTAAACCTTTCAACCAGTTTTCATGAATTGGGTAATTTATTCTGCGTATATTTTGCAATGTGCTTGGCAAAAAAATCATTGTATTTTTTTGCATACATTATAGATATGTAGAATGGAGATAGATATATACAATTATATAATTTATAAATAAATCGTTATATCCCATAATCTTTATATATTTTCTGAATATTTATAAACAAATTCAGAGCAAACGCAAGTAGATAATAAAAATAGTAATAATTACATTTGTTATGAAGTTGTAAAGTCAATTAATTATACACAATATTTTCCTAGCTCACAGTTCCCACGCGTATAATAATTACAAGACAATCAATAAAAAAAAACAATGAATATGACTAATGAACTCTGTAATGGAAATACGAATTCATATTTTTTGTATCGGAAACAAATTGCTAATATTATTTTAGTTAATCTTTCAAACAATGGTGATTTAACAGACTGTGTTTTATTTTATCTATTTATTACAAATATATATAGATCTACGTCTATATGCTATATCTTATGTTCTATATTTACACATACTAAAATAAATACTACTGTCATGTAAAAAAATCTACTTGAATTAGGTAGCCTATTGTAAATCTGAAAGTGAGTTTGTATTTATTTGTTACCTCTTAGCGTTTTAATATGTCAGGCAATCATCATATAATATAATCGATTGTAAGTGGGGGGGAGGGGATTGTTAATAATGTGGACTAATCTCATTGCTAGCAATGTACCATGTCAGATCGACCTCCACGCGGTCCCCCCTGGAAACCATCGTGATACATTCCCGGTAAATTTGTCACGTTAGGCTAACTGATCTGACTTCATGTTCATCTTATCATCCTCCACTGGTGTCCCGCCAGCGTAAACCGTTAGCGCCGGTGGGTGCACGATAACCTTATCATCCTTTAAAAAAAAATCGATTGTAGGTATTTGGGTTGCATTATGGATAAAGTCTTTTGATCCTAATTATAAATAACACCTGACGAATAATTCACATATGAAGATGCAAACAGAAGCAGAGGATTGAAAACATTCAGTAGGTAACTTAAAAAATATTAAAAACTATCTACCTCAATTTAAAATATATAGGTATATGAGCATAAAAACTAAAACATTTCATGAGACACATTACTCACCAAGTTTGGCAACCAATTGTAATACGATGCTGTCGCCAGCCACTGCCCACCTCACTTCGAAAGCTAGCTCGTCGTATAACACCTCGCAATTCAATTTTGACTGCAAAGAAAAATTATAATTTATAATTTATACTGTTTGTTTTTTGTTACTATTTCTTTATTATATTGTGTTATTTGTTACATAATATAATAAATAACTGTGACTATTAGAAAGATTTTGAATTTAATTTTACAGAAGCAGATGATATTAAGTCAGGAATCAACAATTTAACATTGAATCTTTATTTTACCAAGCTAATAAGAACTTAATCAACAACATCACGTAACATATACTTCAAAAAGATTCTAAACTATTTTGTAACTAAGTTGTATATTATGGGTTAAAAACAGTTATTACATATCAATTCTAAAATACTCTTTATCAATTCAGAGTTTCCTCATGTATTGATTCTATACAGAAATTATAATTTAAAAGTATTAAATATATTTATAATACCTATAAGCCGCGTTAAGTAGTCAAAGAGTGTGTGTAGTGTGAGAGAGAGAGAGAGAAGAGAGAGCATAAAGTCTCGCTATTGACACAAGCGATCAAAAATTCGCAGCAAAATGTTTGTATCCAATAGTGAGAGCTTATAGCATACGTTACCCATTCATTTTACTATGAATATAAATAAATAAAGAGTTATATAGCTATATGCTTTTATGAGCATCTTTGTAAAAGAAGATAAGCCCGATTTAATTGGGGACTACACACACGTAGTTATCGATGGATGGAGCAAGTTACTACTTACTAAATACTTCAATTTATATGAAAACTAAAAGTCAGTCCTTGCTCCTGCTAATCACTAAGTAATTTCTCTGTAAGTTACCAAATCTGTTTCTTGATATCGAGCTCCTTTCCACCCTAAAATACTATAACTCTTCATATTAAGAGTCTCTATAAATTTAGTTTGGATATAAATTTTCATTTTAGTAATCATCGTATTTTAGTTTTGCAATTTGTTACCCTAAAATAGCGAAGTGGTTATATGACATCACGAACCACATCATTGTGAAATCCGTGCTGTCCCTTATTTGTTGATAATCACGAAATAAATACAAAGATATAATGCCTCCGTAATCTGAAATTTTACCGCCATATCTTACTATTGAAACAAGAATGTAGCATACAATAATGTAATGTTGCAATACAAGTTTATTGGCGACAGAATTAGGTGAGATAGACGTATTCACGCAGATGAGTTTATACAAAGTCTCCCTTTATTAAAGTGTGGAGCACCAATATCGCTACACAAAAAACCGAACCTAAGTGGCTGCAACTACTCTTCTAGTGAATACTAGCAAAGCCATTGCAGGGACAAAATCCGCTTCGTTAAAAGTTTTCACCGCTTCCCAATATTCGAGGAAAATTTCAGGATCCCTAACTAAAGTTTACCAAAACTAGTATATATAATGATTTTAGTTTCTATTTTTAATACTCCGATCTTAAATAAACCTTCACTTTACGTTAATAATATAGAAATTCTGTAACTAATGTACTAATAAACGTAATTTATTTACCATCACAATTTGAAAATATAAATTAGTAAATACCACAATTGAAAGTTCGTCAGAAATTCTAAATATTGTTCCCGCCACAGTGGAAATTTTCATGTACCTACCTTTAATTTATAGTAAGTTAAAACTATTTAATGCTTAATTTTCCTACTTAAATTGATACAACAAAACCATAGGTATTTTCACTCAGAATTTACTACCAAAATTATTTGAATAATTAAACACAAAAATATTTTATGAAGAAAACTAGATGAATTATGCAGGTTTGAATGAAATTTCAAAGTTTCGAAAATTGATCATATTCTAGATAACAAGATCTTGTTAACACGCAGGATGCGTCTAGTTATCAAATAAATTTAAACACCAATCTTATTTCTATGAACTCCTCCAATACGACGCCGACTGAAATCGAAGACGCATTAAACATCAAAGCGAAGGGTCATTGCGACAATCCGTATGTAATGTAATAGATGGAATAATTTTCTAGTAGATTTCATGGGCCGTTGTCATGGCAACGTAACCGAAGTAATCCGACGAGCGGTGAGGTGTAATCATGTGTGCGGACCCTTTGACCAGCCACCGCGGATTAAACTCTTTTAATAGATGATTCAAAGTATTACTACGGCGTTCATTATCAAATCCACCTTTTCCTTTAACTAAAGTGTTACAATTACGCAACAAATAATTTACGTATATCAATACGTAAACAGAAATTGTTATCAACAATTAGTTTTTAAGTATTTAATGTACGCAAACAGTAATTGTTGAAAATAAAGAACTTACTAAAGAAATTAGATATATAATCAAAAACATAAAGTACTTAGTAACTATTATATTATTATATAATGATTAATATAACACTGCGCTGAAGATCTATTAAATTTTGCTTATTATATGAACTGTACCAATTCGTATTATGTCTATAAAGGCCTTTTTTAAACAATCTAATATTTTTTAAAATACAGTAATTTTGTAATATCATAAATAACATTATTAAAGAAAATAAGATTCTAATTTTTAAAATTTATACATATCAGTTTTGAATTTTATGGAGTTAGAAATTAAAGCAATCCTATACCATATAGAATAGAATTCCATAAATTATTATAGAATCTAACAAGCCAATAATCCGAGTAAATTGCAGGCACAATGGAAGTACCCAAACGGAGCTCGAAGCTACGTGAGGTACGATCACAATTATTCTGAATTTAGGAAACAGGGTACAGTAAGCCGACACTTGGGCTATATACCTACCATATACATGAAAGAGAACTACTCTCACCAGGAAAAAAAGTAGAAATATGAAAATAGTACACTTTCAAACTAAATCATTGCGAATGAAAGAACTAAAATTTTATTTTAGCAAACAAACCTTCCTTGGCTACCGTATAGTCGGAGACATCAAGATTGCTGATATATTATATTATCTATTCTGATCTCATCACATGCAGAGAATATATATTTAAATCGACGTAGTATATACTGGAATATTAACTAATATTAATCTTTTTATTACGTATATAGGATTAAAATTGTTGATCTTTTTACACTTGTATCTACCTAAATAGTTAATTGTTTATGCTGAGAGTACTGACTAATAAATGAGTGCAATAAATGTTGACTTCCGCTTCTATAGTCTTAAATTCAGTTAACAAGCCAAAACCCCATGCTACAATATATCTACCATTAACATGTCGCGCAGTGTAACGGCGCCTTAACTCAGCGCCTAACAATATGGCGGGCAGAATTCATGTGGGTAATGAGGGTGTCCGCCGTATTACTTTATGTAATCCCCTTATTGGCTATCATCCTACTACTTCGTAAGTATACAGAAGTTACACAGCAACTAGCGCCATGTACCGTTAGTGTGCATACTGCATTAAAGTGAATAGTTCAATACATAAGGAACAGGAACTGTAAGAATTGTATTGTATTTATATTGTTGGTACATTTGTCACATAATTGGTTGAAAATGAGAATTATTCTTTATTACGTACGTAATAATGTAGCTTATAGTACATGACATAATTTAAAAAATCTGTTATTTTTCAGTTTACAAACAAAAATCGAAGCATTCCTATTTATTAGTTCATAGAATATTTGTTAGACTAAACAATTTATGTTTCTATGCATATTGTTAGATATGCTGTAAATAATTCTGTACACTTTTCAGTAAACAATTCCAAATATGATTTATCCTAGTATCAAACCCGATATTATATTAGTCCATTGTTATGAACTCTTTTAGATTCTTTTGTTCGTGAAGTACGAACGCGCAACTGGCGCTGTTAGCTAAAACTTTCCTAATTTGTCTATACAAGTTCACGAGACGGTATTCGATTGAATTAACATTTTATGGATAACACAGCTATCGAAATACTTTCATAATCGCTCCATTAGGGAAAATAATTGCGATCGTTAAGGATTTCTTCATTGATGACCCTCACAAATGAAATGCACATTTATTTTGGCAAGCTTTATTACCCATTTGAGTATTGATTGAATACAAACAGTTGAATATTGTACTATATTAATATAATCTTAAATACTAAAAAGAGAGGACATCGGTCGACTAAATTGATATAAAATTTAGACCTCGTCAATAATGAGCTATATCACAGTTAGGAACTTGACGTGAGTATTCACCATATCACAAATGTATTTAATCTATTGTAGATCTTTTAAATCAACTGAAGGATCGACCAGCTATAAAGATGTCCAATTTATTGTCATTCGTACATTCATATAAAAATGATCCAAAATTTTTATCTACCATTTTATTCGTTGTCATTAATTTCTCAGTAAATTATGCTGTTACTATGTAAATATAATAATTACTTACAACTACTTATTTATTATTAGAAACTAGTGGTAACTACTGGCTCCGTTTTCGGTACAGCTCGTTGCAATGCTGTGGCTAAAGCCGAAATTAATCACAACCATTCCACAGAACCATTTTTTATGACATTTTGCGACATGATAACAGAGAAATATTAGCAAAGTCAAACATTTTTATCTAAAATTTACATTTCTATGGCTTTTTGATTAATTTTTAATAAATAAATTTATATCATTCGCTTTCATTTCTATCGTTTTCAACTTGTGGTTATTAATTGAATTAAATAAAAATATTGATATTCCTTTTTGCTTTGTTCAATTGAAAGAAAACGAAAAGTCGCCTGGAAGCAGCCATGTTCAAGTATTTTAATAGAAGGAGCGGATTATGACCGCTCACATGCAGATGTTCTTGGTTCAGGGCTATCAAAATTAGCAGTCCCCAAGTGAGAGGATTATTTAGAAGGGCGGCCGTGGTCACGCCTCGACGATTATTGTGTTGACTATATGAAGAGACGTGCATTGGCCAATCAGTGCGGTTCGATTGTATGACGAAATAATCGTTCAAAATCTTCACCAACAACTTTACTACTTGTATCACATATCACGATCAATCTATCTTGTAGTTGCTTTTAGTAATGAACTCAAAGCTATCCATCAATGGGCAATCCGTGTCCATAATAAGAATTCTAACAAATTGATCAAATA